TCTTTGGATTTTTGGGGGGGGATTTTTGAGGAACGGGACATTGGGGACAGTGGGGGGACATTGGGGACATCCCTGGGGACATTGGGGACATTGGGGACAGTGGGGGGACATTGGGGACATCCCTGGGGACAGTGGGGACATTGTGGTATTTGGGGACATTGGGGACATTTGGGGCACTGGGAATTTTTTGGGGAATTTCTTTGGATTTTTTTGGGGGGGATTTTTGAGGAATTTTTTTTTGGGAATTTTGGGGAATTTTTTTGGGAATTTTTAGGGAAATCTTTGGGGAAATTTTGAGGGTTTTTTTTGGAAATTTTTGGGGGATTTTTTTTGCGAATTTATTTGTATTTTTTCATTATTTTTTGTGAAATTTTGAGGAATATTTTGAGAATTTTTTCCCCAAATTTGTTTTTTTTTTTTTTTTGGTGTTCATTAAATTTTTTTTAATTTTGGGGATTTTGTCGGACGTTTTGGGAACGTTTTTGGGATTTTTCCCCCTCCCCAGGCCTGGCCTTTGACTCGTGGGACCTGGAATTCTACACGCAGCTCTTCCAGAGGGCCGGCAGGAATCCGACCTCGGTGGAGCTCTTCGACCTGGCCCAGAGCAACAGGTGAGCCAAAAACGCCAAAAACACCCAAAAAAACCCAAAAAACACCAAAACCCACCAAAATCCTAAAAAATCTCCCTGAAATCCTGCAAAAATCCCATAAAAATCCAATAAAAATGCCACAAAAATCCCACAAAACCCCCAAAATTCTCATCCTTGGTGATCTTGGACCTGGCCCAGAGCAACAGGTGAGCCAAAAAATCCAAAAAAACCCAAAAAACACCAAACCCCACCAAAATCCTAAAAAAGCTCCCTGAAATCCTGCAAAAATCCCATAAAAATCCAATAAAAATGCCACAAAAATCCCACAAAACCCCCAAAATTCTCATCCTTGGTGATCTTGGACCTGGCCCAGAGCAACAGGTGAGCCAAAAAATCCAAAAAAACCCAAAAAAACCCAAAAAACCCCAATATCCTACAAAATCCTAAAAAATCCCAGGGAAATCCCACAAAAATCCCACAAAATTCCACTGAAATTGTGCAAAAATCCCACAAAAATTCCATTGAAATTCCCATCCCTGGAGCTCTTGGACCTGGCCCAGAGCAGCAGGTGAGCCAAAAACGCCAAAAAACCCCAAAAAAACCCAAAAAACCCAAAATCCTACAAAATCCTAAAAATTCCCAGTGAAATCCTGCAAAAATCCCGCAAAAATCCCAAAAAATTCCTCTGAAATCCCACAAAAATCCCGAAATTTTCATCCTTGGTGATCTTGGACCTGGCCCAGAGCAACAGGTGAGCCAAAAACGCCAAAAACACCAAAAAAACCCAAAAACCACCAAAATCCTACAAAATCCTACAAAATCCCAGTGAAATCCTGCAAAAATCCCACAAAATTCCCACAAAATTCCCACAAAAATCCCACAAAATCCCCAGAAATTTCCCAAAAATTCCCAAAAATCACAAAAAATCCCCAAAAATCCCAAAAAGTCCCAAAAAATTCCCAATGAATTCCCATAAATCCCAAAAAATACTCAAAAATCCCAAAAAATTCCCAGAAATCCCAAAAAATCCCCCCCCCAAAAAAAATCCCCCCAAAATTCCCCAAAAATCCCCCAAAAATTCCCATACATCCCAAAAAAATACCCAAAAATTTCTCAACAATCCAAAAAAATTCCCAAAAATCCCAAAAAATCCGCAAAAAATTCCCAAAAATCCCAAAAATCCCCAAAATTCCCCAAAAATCTGAAGAAGTTCCCAAAACTTTCTCAAAAATCAAAAAAAACCCCCAAAATTTCCCAAAAATCCCAAAAAAATCCTCAAAGAATTCCCAAAAATCCAAAAAAAATCCCAAAAATTCCCAAAAATCCCTCAAATTTCCCAGAAATCCCCAAAAATCCCCCAAAAAATTCCCAAAAATCCCAAAAAATCCCCCAAAAATCCCCAAATCCCCCTCAAAAATCCCAAAAAATCCCCCCAAAACTCCCCCAAACCCCTCCCGAGCGGTGACGTCACCCTGATGACGTCACCCCCGATGACGTCACGGCTGTCTGCAGCGAGCACAGCCGCCATTGGTTCTTCCGCGGTCACGTGACGCTGGACGGCGCCCCCCGCGGCCGCAGCCTGTTCCGCTCCCTGATGGACACGCAGGGCTCCTCCCACCCCAACAACGTCATCAAGTTCTGCGACAACAGCAGGTGGGGACAGAC